TTTTTTATATTTACATGTTTTCTCAACAAGCGCGAGCACCTTAAATTCCAAATAAAATGCAGTCATCACACAACTTGCAAATGTGGCAGTAGGGCTGAAAGTAACATTGGTCTATTTTCTTTTCTCGATTTCTAGCTGGGTAAGAAATCTCTAAATTTTGAATCGGGATAGTCATTACTTTAGTGAGCTAACTTTTAATTTTATATGTTTAAAGTAGGGAATAAAGGTAAAACTTTGTCTTTTTTTCTTCTGTTCCGCAAGCTTACGACTGTCGAAATTCATAAATTCTCAGCACTCATTTAAACTGTTCGCGTCTTGGCGTTCACGTGTTTTAAGGCTGTTTTTCGAAGGCTATGTCGTCACATGTAACGTCGCTTTTTAGGAGATAATGCTATTTTTAAAACTGTCGTGAGTTACACTCAATTCAATATAACCCAAGACAAAATTCCTGATGGTACCATTACCATCAAAGAATTATGATGGTTTAAGTAAGATTCTTGATGGTCCAACATGTGTTGATGGTAACCATCATACAACAATTTCCATCTAGTTTTGATGGCCCAACAAATTTCCATCATTACAAAATGGAAAATGTTGCTTTATGTTATGATGGTAAACCATCAAGCAATGTTTGATTNATGTAAAACAAATGGCGTTTTCATACGCTACGAACTGACTATACGCCGGAATGGATTGTGGTTGAATTAATTATGAAAACGTTGAATAGAACAATGTGAGCTGTGTCTTTTTGCATAATTCGAAGTGAAAATTAACATAATAACGGAAAAATCTCATATTGAAAAAGGGAAAATTTAGCACTTTTTAAAAACACCCAACGAAAACAGCACCTTTAAGGGCTTTTGAAAAACGAAAATAAGCACCTTTAAACACGCTACGCACCCTGTTTCGCGTGCATTTGTTTCAATGCTGTTTTTAGAACGCTCTGTCGTCATATGTAACGTCGCATTTTAGGGGATAATATGCAATTTTTAAAACAATTATTTATGACGGTTTAGTTAATTTTTCCCACCTTTAGCCAGCGCCCTCTACGCTAATTAAGAAAATGGCACAAAATGCCAATGAATAGCAATCTCACAGTTCAGTGAAAATAAAAAGCGTTCCTAATATGTTTTAATATTTAAAACGTTACAACAACATTTCATTTTCTGAGCTCATAAAAATTTCCCAAAATTTTAATTGATTGAAATTTCCCAAAATTTAACATTATCATTGGCAGAGCCGAACATTTTTCTCAGTACCTTTCTCTCCCAGATTAACAAACGTTCCTGATCTTTTTTTACTTAGTCCAGATTTGTTATTTAGTATTATTGCATCCAAAATTTCATTCCACGAGAGTTTCAAATTGGTTGATAAAATTCGGTTGAGCAATATCAGCGCTACTTTTCAGAGAGCACCCAATTCAACATAACCCAAGACAAAATTCCTGATGGTACCATTACCATCAAAGAATTATGATGGTTTAAGTAAGATTCTTGATGGCCCAACATGTGTTGATGGTAACCATCATACAACAATTTCCATCTAGTTTTGATGGTCCAACAAATTTCCATCATTACAAAATGTTGCTTTATGTTATGATGGTAAACCATCAAGCAATGTTTGATTTTTGATGGACCTATATAAGCCATCATATTTTGATGGCAGATGTTGTTTTACCATTATGATGGTCAACCAACAAGTTATGTTTTCAATTTGTTAAATACGGAACGTGTACTTCTAAAAAAAAAATAAAATATGAACGGGATTATTTCAGTATTTTATTGTTTCGGGGTGTTATAGAACACGATAATAAAAAAAGTTTATTTTTTAAAAACATAATATATAAATTTTTATTTTATTTTATAGCTGTCGACCCAATTTTGAGTTAAAAACTACCAATGTTCAATTCCATAACCCTGAACCCAATTCAGAAGATAAGGTAACTCCTGGATCAAGCATTGAGAGAAATTTGCCTTAGCGGAGGACTTTTTGATGGAACTAACCAGCATCTGCGTTATACGGAGAGAAAAACCACGAAAATCTGCCATCGTTAGCCTGACGGCAAGGGGACTCTAACCCATGATCTGTCGTCTATCGATCACTGAGGATATTTTACGTCAGCGCTGTGCAAGATTCGTATAGACCAGCCATCGCTGGTTTTCGAAACAGGGTCACCTCATTGGGAGGTGTGCGCTCTATCCCCTGAGCCACCACGGCTTTTGATATATAAATTAAGAAAATTTTAAAAAATTGGTAGAAATAACTAAATAAAGATATTTAAGTTTAGATTGTGTAGTTTACTTTGTTCTGGCCTCTTCAAAAAGCTGTCTCTTTTAAACACAGTATTTCAAAATAAAAAATGTTCGGCCAATTAATGAGAACTCATGTTCAGCCAACGACAATGGTCACTTCTGGCATATCGGTCATTTTCCGTTCTAAAAGTTCAGTTCAGTTCTAGTAAACGTTTCAGCTTCCATTTCTTTTCAAATTAAAAACACATTTTTCTAATGCGAATAATTTAACGTAGAGTGTATTAAACAAATTGCAAAACGATAAAAAACGTATTAGCAATCTGTAGGTTAAACGCTGCGTCAATTAGTTAAGCTTTTTAGAAGATAAAAAGTAGTTTTATCTATAGCAGTGGTTTCCAACTGGCGGTCCGGGGGCCGCATCCAGCCAACGAAGCCTTTTTTTGTGGCGCACGAACTCAAATATACTAGTTGTCCTTTTTTTGCGGACAATTTTCGTAAAATATCTATATGGGTTTAAAATACTTTTCTCGTTAATAAAAACCTAATTTCTTCGTTTCTGTGAAATTTATCATACCAATGGTGCAAAAAAATTCAGGTTTTGCATCCAAGCCAAGAAAATATGTATTCAAATACAAAATTAATCGTGTACGTTGCTCTTTTCTATTTCATTTTTTTGTATTTTGAGAATATAATTTAGCATGTGTGTATCAGAAATTTTCTCGAAGAAATTCGCCGATTTAACTTTTTGAAACCACTCATTTTAGACGAAAATATTTACACATACATTTGTAAATTTAAAATGTAAATATCTATTCTCTGGTGGTTGCAGCAGAAAAACCTCAATTTTCTCATTGAACATTTTGTGTGCTACTACGTAAGTTTTAATACCAACCTTTTTAAAGTTTTATATCTTAACAATTAGATATCTGTTGCACATTAATTATTTAATACATGGGTGCACATTAAAGTTATTGTAGCCCGAATTTTTTAACATGCAATTAAATATTTTTAAAAATCAATTTCTTATTTTAATTTGTAAGTCAATATTTTCGTTTTGTACAACTTGGTAAAAATCTGACAGTAATTTTTAATGTTCCTTCAAACATAAAAGAGTCCCACATAAGATTTTGATAAAGATGCGGCCCGCCATTTGATTTGTGTTTTTAATTGTGACCCCGGCCTCATGTAAGTTGGAAACCCCTGAAGCAAGGAGTTAAAACAATGGATTTTCGATATTACCTCTCAGAAAAATGACAAATGTTCTAAATTCAGCCAGTAAATATTTGCTATCTGCAGAAAGAAATAAGAAGCAAATCGCTGCACCTGTTTTCGACTAATAAGAATACAAACATTTTAGACTTTCAGTTATATATAAAGAAACATTACATTAGCAACGTAACATAGAAAACGTTTTAAAAAGCGATATTTTTTTCAGCAAACAATTCGATAAATGTCGATTTTTTAAAACCACTTCTCAACTTTTAACTTCGCCTTTGTTTTTGAAAAAAATAAGATAATCTATCTTTTCGGTAGTAATTAGTCCTGCAACAACAGATAAACGCGACATAGTATATTGTTTTATTCATTCCGTACGAAAATGTCAATAATTGAAGTAAATTGAGCGAATAATACAAAGCATCACGGTAAACGGAAAAAAGTTTTAAAATGAGAGCATAGAAAAAACTGGATAAGTTTTTCATAGTGCTTTTTATGGTTTGCGATTTCTATTCTTGTTAAAAAAAAAGTATATTGAATTACTTAAAATATACTTGTAGTATCAAACTCACTGACCGGAAAAATTCTAGAATCGAAGATGAATTGTAACAAATATGTTTTGTACTAAACTCTCGAATTAGTGAAAGAAGGGTATAATTATATTCAATTAATAAACACGTTATGAAAAAAACAATTTTTACCGATAATATAAATTCATTTTATTTTTATAAGAGATTATATCTGTCAGCAAACTTTTGAAAATTCTATTTTCGTATTTTTGGAAAGTACAACTCTTTAAAAAAATAAAATAAGTCGCAGTAGTAGTTTGTTAGTTACGTTTTCAAGTAACTAACAAACGTATAGTGCACAAAATAAAAAAGTGAACATCCTAAATAACTTTTTATGCAATGATTAGATTTTAGTCTCAATGGTTCGAGGTTCTACCTTAATTATTGCTAATTATACAGCAAAAACAATATTATAATTTAGGAGACAAAGACACAAAAACGAACCTTATCTGAATAAACTTACTTTTTTTTTTGACGTAATTTTTATTTCACAAGAGTTCTTCAACCGATTCTTTTCAAATGTCGGATTTCGTCATTCAGAATTACGTAGATTAAATTGGTGTAAAAATTTGCATACCAATTAATTCAAAAATTTTATTAAATTAAATAATCAAACAGGATGAGCATTATTTTTACATGGAAATATCTTTGGATAAACAAGTTTTATAATTTTGAGCAAAAAAAATTTTGTAATTCTGTTAATTAGTTCTTGAGTTATGTCGAAAGATGCAAAAAATAAAATTTCTATTAAGAGGTTCAAACTTTCGGCCGCTTTTAATGCCAAAGGGACCGTATTCCCCAGATTGCGGCTGCACCCCCATATTTTGAACATTAAGCACTCTAATCTGTTTAGGGAAAAATATGTTTATTAATCTACGATATGTTTTTGCATCTGATTTCGTAACTGAAAAAATTATATTTCGAATGCGCCCTTAAAGCTTATACAAAAATGACATAGACAATATAGGTTAATAATATTTTTTTTTTATATTCGAGAAGAATGTCAATTACAATATTTATCACAAACATTTTTATGTACTAACAACTCTGATAAGCTTTTGAAAAACGTCAATTTTGTACTTAAAAAAAATGAGTGTTTACATTTTACACCAACATTAAATATCAATATCATTCAACTAGTGGAAATGTCATCATCCATTTACCAAACATTTATTAATTTAAAATTAGGGTAATAAATTAGCATTTCACTAAGTTAACAAGTTATATAGATGTTAAATTATTTATATCCAAAAGCTTTTCTTTAAAAAATATATTTATTTACACAGCGCAGAAGTCATGGACAATATCCTCAAAGATTCAAGCATAACGTGAAGTACTTAAATCATTCTCCATTTAATTTAGGAAAATAATGGTTATCTAAAAATTTGGTTCAATTTAGTTAAATAATTTCCTATATTAATATGCTATAAAATAATCACTAATGATTATTTTATAGCATATAAATAAATAACAATATAATAAGAAAAATTTCCAAGGTCTTTAACAATTGAACCAAATAGTCCTCTTTACGCAACTTAACAATATGTCATATAGGAGCATGCTTTTACAAGAGCTATTGTGGTGGCGTAAGTTAAACAGGGTCTAAAAATGACCGATGATTTGAAAAATATATTAAAGAATAAAGGAGGTAGATAGAAACATACGTACGAGCTGAGTACTGTTTAGGAAACGAGAACTTCACTCTCAGTAAGTTTCAAAATTAGTTACCAAGTTGGTGCTGCTGACTGAGAAAACCTATAGAAACTTGGTCTCAAAATAACCACCATTTGAAAGCAGATGCACTAACTTTGATTTAGTGCTTTTCCTAATCATCAGCGCCATCTGTTGACGAGTTTTTGTTACCAATTTTGAACCTCTTAAGTACAAACCTAATCTCCTTTCGATTTTTTTTTTTAAAAAATCAGCGGCCATTTTTGGAACAGACATGCTAACTAGAACTTGTAATCACATGTTAACATAAGAGCTTAGTAAAATTTTTAGTTATTAACTGAGGTAGCTTTAATTTAAAAATAACTTCTTGACACTTAAAAGAGACGAACTTTTTCTTCCAACTCACTAGAATAAAACATTGATTAACAGGGTGAGTAGCCAAATTTTTTAACAAAAAATAAGCACTCAAAAATATTTTTAAGCACTTAAAAAAATTCATAACTTGGCAGAGTGGGCACGTTTTTGACAATTAACGGTTTTACCCGTCATGTCAAAAAAAAAAAAAAAAACTTTTGTCATAGTGCTTGACAATTGCAAAAAATCATAAAATTTTGAAACATCTAAAACGAATGGCGTTTTCATACGCTACGGACAGACGTTGAATTAATTGTGAAAACGTAGAATAGAACAATGCGAAAAGTGTCTTTTTGCATACTTCATGGCGAAATTCATCATGATAAAGGAAAAATAACATTTTGGAAAAGGGAAAATTAAGCACTTTTAAAAAACGCTACGCACCCTGTTAAATTAGCTTGCTCACTTCTTCATAGTTATAAAAAATAAATGAAGGATGATACGAATTAAAATATTTTATCTCTTACAACACAATCCAAACTGCGCAATGAGACTGGTGTGATCAGAGCCCAAGTGAGCATTTGGCAATCCTCCGATATCATCAATATCGTCCTTTCGCATTAGGCCATACACACCTAACAGTTTTAATTTCCCTTCAGTGTAAGTATTAATATTTTGCTTCTCTCTAACGGTATAAAAAATGTGGTCCACAGTATTGTAATCACAGCCAGTCATGGACGTGATAGGCATGTCTTTTGGATTATCGGTTTGAAACTTGTAGGCAGGTATGAATTTGAAATTGTGAGAAAACTGAAGGTCGCTTTGCTCGCACCTACCATCACTACTATCCATATCTTCAGAGTCGTTTGAATTGGCGGCTTTATTGGTTTTGAAATCTACAGACGTTTTTGGCACGGCTGATTGCTTGGAAGCTAGATCTTGGGCTAGTTTATCATGACCCATTGCTTTTAAAGTAGTTATCCAACGCGGATCATCCGATTTACCGATTGCTAACAATATACTGGGGTCCACAGATTCGATTGTCGGTGGATTAGCCAAGTTACTAGACCCACTGCCTGAATTAGCAAATGATTGACTATTTGGTACAGAAGTTGATAGTTTATTTTCTGATGTATCCTCGTAACGACTAGATTGATTTATACCGAGTTTGTGCAAAGATAATTGCTCACCATTCACACATTTGCCCCTTTTCTTTCCGTCTGTCTGTCCTGACATATCTCCAGATAAAACATTGGTTAGATCAACAAATCCAGACTCGATAAACTGATATAAAGGGGAATGTGGTTCGATATTGAAATCCCCACAGAGGATTATAGGATGATAATGATGCTGACCATCACTAGAGATTTCCTTCAAAGCTAATCTTTCAAGTTCTGCAAGAAGTAGTCGAAGCTGGCACAGTTTCACTTCCCCTCTTCTGGGATTAAACAACAAATGGGTGGTAGCAACATGGAGATTGATGTCCCTTAAATTTGGATGAATGGGTTTCAAAACAGCAATTAAACCAACATTGTCCCTATTTAAAAACTTGTTCCCATTTGCTTTGAACTCAACCTCACAATGTTGAAGAAGATCGAACTTCTTCTTTCGCCACAAGATGGCACAACCATCGCCTTTACTGCTTGTCTTCTTCTTGAAAATCGATTCGAATCCATTAGTTTGAAAAAGTTCCTTGATTCTGTACTCAAACACATGCTGTTCAACTTCTTGCAAGCATATAATATCACTTCTGCTGTTCAAGATTTCCGGCAAGATCCTGGAAACTCGATAATCTTCTTGAAGAAAAGTATTGCTGCAGTGCTTGTACAGGAAACGATGATTTTCCACCGCTACTTGGCTTAATATGTTATAGGTCATAACAGAAAATTGAAAACCCCATTTTGGACGTCTCTTGCTCAATTTTGTTTGCTTCCATCGTCGAAAATGGGCAATTTTGTTTTTGATAATGTCTTCAATGCTCATTGCACCTTGTCGGGCCATGTCATGTTGATGTGGCGGCGAAAAACCTATAAAATACAAAGAAAAATGGTTAGACATGATAATATTTATACAAGGTATATATATATTATCGTATATAAACAATATTTATACACGATAATATAATATACAAGGTAGAAAATCGTATACCATTCCTCGTCAATACGAAATTTTGATCCAAATACTTCCAGAAGAATATTTTTTATTGCGAATTGTATTTTAAATTTCATTGCGAAGCTTTTGTGAGGCCATGAAACTATCCGCTAGCCGTTTTTAACATTGTTTCTTCACACATTTTTCAAAGAAAAAAAAAAGGTTTCGAACATGTTGCAATTCACAGTTGGCACTATTGACAAAGGCTGAGGCAGAGTAGAGAGTACGTGTTGACATAAGGCTAACAGGTACTTCGAAAGATTCAACCATTCATGGGTTGTTTAGCGAATGAAAACTAGTAATAGAATGTATAGCAATATAAAAAAGCTGTTTTAAAACATCTTTTTTATTTGAAAAACGCCTCATTAAAATACTCAGCAGATTATATGCGTTATTGTTTTATACATCAAGCAAAAGTGTTATTTATTTGGTTTGAGTTCAAAAGACCGAGTTCTTCGGCCGGGATAGCCTGGTTGGCAGGAGGCTGAGCCGGGAGTTCGAAACCAGCCGGCCAAAGACTCCCGTGTAATAAATGGTGACTGGTGCGCGTTAAATCTGTCGGGTCACAAAGCCCTCCATGTTCCCATAATAAATCAATACCTCTGGGGGTACTGAATTGGAGATTGATCGTTCTCTGGTTCAGGTCAAAATTACGACCGAAATTCGAATTTTTGTCCATAGATCGCACCCCCTCTGCCTTAATGGCTGAAGACAACAACTGAGTTTTTCAAAGATTCCTTATTTCCTTCACTTAATTCTTCAATTAAAAGTGTTTTTCAGTAAACTTAGTGTGATGTTACAAATAAAACATGTGGGTCCGAAAGAAATAGCTAATTAATTTATTTTTAACTCGGTTAGACTTATACTGCGAAATTCTCTAACTATGATTAATAATTCGAAGTTTGTAAAAATAGAAATAATTATACATTCCAAATAGAAATTTCCTATTTTGCAAAATTACTTCAACTACTTTTACAAAAACAAAAATATAATTCAAATACTTCAACCATTTCACAAATTTCAAATCACACACAAGTGAGGAAAATACAAACAGGAAATAACTAATAAAAATGACACTTTCTTCCTAGTTTTTTTTAAATCTATTTAAATCAGGTTTAAAGGGTTCATCAGTTTCCTTTAGAACAAAAATAGCATTTTCATTTTCGAAAAGTGAATTCGATAATTTTTTTTTGTACCGGTATCTTCACACAAATTCGAACTTTTTTTTATTTTTTTTATTCGCTTACACTACGCATCATTAAACAAAGTCATCTTTCCTGCAAAGTCCTCACTTATTGTATTGTTTCCTCATTTTGTTTTCCCCCATTTTGTAGATGAGTGACGTTAGGGCTAACTCCCACGAATTCAAATGGTTAACGTCGACCGTTATCTTTCCGCTTCTATGATCCCAAGAATGACATAACGTGTATTTTAAGTTACAAACATATTATCTAGAGTTTGTTTAGAAAATTTGATTATAAAGTCATTGATTCATCCCTCTCGGAAATAACGTTCGTGAAAGAAATAATGATCAGAGAGTTTTGGACTGTTGCCAGTTAATATTTGTTAAAGTATTGAAAAAATCCTTTTAAAGGAACACTACTATGATTATGCGAGATGTCGATTTATTTCGGAAACAACGATCGTAGCGGGAATAAAGGTTACAGAGTTTCAGGCTTTTCCCACTTAGTGTTAAAGTATAAAAAGGAATTCTAAGTTTATATTTTGTAACTGAAAATTAAACAAACATATCATCTAGAAGTTGCAAACATATTATCTAGAGCTTGTTTAGAAAATTTGATTATAAAGTCATTGATTCATCCCTCTCGGAAATAACGTTCGTGAAAGAAATAATGATCAAAGAGCTGTGGACTGTTGCCACTTAATATTTGTTAATGTATTAAAAAAAAATCGTTTTAAAGGAACACTACTATGATTATGCGAGATGTCGATGTATCTCGGAAACAACAATCGTAGCGGGAATAAAGATGACTGAGTTTCAAGCTTATCCCACTTAATGTTAAAGTATAAAAAGGAATTATATGTTTATATTTTGTAACTGAAAATTAAACCAACATTTCATCTAGAAGTTACAAACATATTATCTCGAGTTTGTTTAGAAAATTTGATTATAAAGTCATTGATTCATCCCTCTCGGAAATAACGTTCGTGAAAGAAATAATGATCAAAGAGCTTTGGACTGTTGCCACTTAATATTTGTTAATGTATTAAAAAAAAATCGTTTTAAAGGAACACTACTATGATTATGCGAGATGTCGATGTATCTCGGAAACAACAATCGTAGCGGGAATAAAGATGACTGAGTTTCAAGCTTATCCCACTTAATGTTAAAGTATAAAAAGGAATTATATGTTTATATTTTGTAACTGAAAATTAAACCAACATTTCATCTAGAAGTTACAAACATATTATCTCGAGTTTGTTTAGAAAATTTGATTATAAAGTCATTGATTCATCCCTCTCGGAAATAACGTTCGTGAAAGAAATAATGATCAAAGAGCTTTGGACTGTTGCCACTTAATATTTGTTAAAGTATTAAAAAAGTCATTTTAAAGGAACACTACTATGATTATGCGAGATGTCGATTTGTCTCGGAAACAATGATCGTAGCGGGAATAAAGGTTAGTTTCAGGCTTATCCCACTTAATGTTTTTCTCTTTTAGAGTTTAATTAATTCCTAACGGGTTGATAATTACACCGAAGATTTATTCTCGTTTTCTTAAATTAAAGAAAACTATTCAAATAACCAGATATAGGGGATAAGTAACAACAAAAAGGATATATTTTAACATGAAGTATACATGACAATGGCTATTACTATAACTACATTAAAAATGTAAATGTCTTTTTCAAGAATCTTTTGACAGTTAACAATGCCATCTAGTGGTGGTTCAAGAAGTATATTTCCACAATGTTAAAGTATAAAAAGGAATTCTATGTTTATATTTTGTAACTGAAAATTTAGTCGACATGCTTCGTCTCATGAAAAATAACATCTTAATGAGATAAAAAACACTTAAAAAATAACATCTTAATGAGATAAAAAAAACTTAAAAAAAAACAAACAATAAAAATAGATTTGTTTATTTCTTTTCCGACGAAAAGTTTATTGCAGAACAAATTTTTTATTGCAGTAAAAATTCTACGGATTTTCTAGTTCTTTTTAGACAGCTTGGCGGCGGCCATAAACTGTGACTCATATTAAATTACTAACGTAATTTGCGGCGATCTATTTATTTAAGTAAACACAATGGAAAAATAACTGATCACATTGCAAGTGAATTAACTGCAATACGATCATTATTCTGATATAACTTTGTAAAGTTTACGTGAATTATGCCACTCTATGCACAGTGAACTATGTTCACATGTCATAATCGAGGTGCAAAGTAGTGTGGTTTTACAAAAGGAAATGAAACATACTATTCACATGTTTTTTAATTTCGTAATGTTGACCAAATGTATATTTGGTCAAAGTTACGACCAGTGGTACACATCGACAGTTCTGTGTCTACAGATTCATATCTATGAATCGTAGAATTGAATGGTAGCTTTTTCTTTCCCCTCCTCTAGATAAAGTTCGAAAAACGGAATTTGGATGAGTTCCCCTTCCTCTAGATAAGGTTCGATTAACGGAATTTGAATTAGTTCCCTTCCCACTAGATAAGGTTCGATTAACGAAATTTGGATTAGTTTCCTTCCCACTAGATAAGGTTCCATTAACGGAATTTGAATTAGTTCCCTTCCCACTAGATAAGGTTCCATTAACGGAATTTGGATTAGTTCCCCCCCCACTAGATAAGGTTCGATTAACGAAATTTGGATTAGTTCCCTTCCCACTAGATAAGGTTCGATTAACGGAATTTGAATTAGTTCCCTTCCCACTAGATAAGGTTCCATTAACGGAATTTGGATTAGTTCCCCCCCCCCACTAGATAAGGTTCGATTAACGAAATTTGGATTAGTTCCCCTCCCACTAGATAAGGTTCGATTAACGGAATTTGAATTAGTTCCCTTCCCACAAGGTTCGATTAACGGAATTTGGATTAGTCCCCCCCCCCACTAGATAAGGTTCGATTAACGAAATTTGGATTAGTTCCCTTCCCTCTAGATAAGGTTCGATTAACGGAATTTGAATTAGTTCCCCTCCCATTAGATAAGGTTCGACACTAGATAAAGGTTCGATTAATGGAATTTGGATTAGCGAGTTTCAACAGTAATATAAGTATGAAAAGAGAACAAGGTGCAAGAAGAGAGTGCCCCAGGTTCATCAACCTAAGGGTAAAAGATAATTTCATTATGAATAAATAAATAAGTATGCATATGTATAAAAAAACAGCAAGAAATTGTGGGCGATCTCCTGAAAGCCGTTTTTCTTTTATTTTATTTTTCGCTTTCAATCCAAGGTCATTGTCATCCAGGTGAAAGCCAGATTTGCTTTTCCGGTGTACCACGACCTTGCTGTGTGGGATTTTCTTTGCAGATCCATCAACACACGCCCACTGCCACATATTAGGCACCACGTATGGAAATTTTTTTTTTTTTTTGGATGAACATAGATAACCGTTATGTCAAAAACAAACTTCAAGAAAAAAATTATCGAAATGAACTAATCCGTATTTGAGAACTTCTGTTTTATAAGTGAAAAAAAAAATTAAATTGCTCGAGATACAGCATTGCAAACTTGGAATTGCAGACTTGGTCGATCATCTCTAGAACTACTAGATCGATTTTAATGAAATTTGATATGTTCGTACATTTATACAATACAAAACAAATAACCATTCAACAATTGTAATACACACACATTATCATGCGTAACACTCGTTGGGGTCGGAAGGTATGAAACAGCGGA